AAAAAAAAAAAAAAGAAACTGGAAATACATATAATAATGGAGGAAAAAGTGGTTCCCTGGTCAGGTGGAGCAAGGAGGACTGGGTTGCAATCTGGGAGCTGTGGAGCAGAATTGGGAGTGAGATTTTTCCCTGCATATATTTTCAAAAATTTGTATAACTTCATTTTGATACAATTTGCTGTCACTGTAACCTTACATATTTCATTTTGCGGATTTTAAAAACATTCTGAGAAGGGATCTGTAGCTTCCCCACATGGCCAAGGGCATCCGTGGCACACAAATGGATACAAGCCCCAGCTCTATATATTTTTTTAATTATTTTAATTGTTATTTTACTTTATTTTTTTATGGAATGTTTCATGAATTTGCATGTCATCCTTACCTTCTCTGTATAGTTCCAATTTTAGTGTATGTGCTGCCCAAGCGAGCACCCCAGCTCTGCATTGACCACACCTTCCATTGTTGCTCTTCCCATATGACCGCATACATTTTAATACAGCTTTTGTTGTTGTTGTTGTTTTGTTTTGAGACAGGGTCTGTGTCTCCCAGAGTGGAGTGCAGTGGCATCATCATAGCTCACTGCAGCCTCAAACTCCTGGGCTCAAGTGATCCTCCAACCTCAGCCTCCCCAGTAGCTGGGACTATAGGTGCGTGCCACATCTGGATAATTTTCTTTTTTATTTTTTGTACAGACAGGGTCTCACTATGTTATCTAGGCTGGTTTCAAACTCCTGGCCTCAAGCAATCCTCCCACCTTGGTCTCCCAAAGTTCTGGGATTATAGGCATGAGCCACTATGCCCCGGCCCTTCAATACAGCTTTATTGAGATACAATTCTCGTACCATAAATTCCACTCCTTTAAAGTGTGGAATTCAGTGGTTTTCAGTGTATTGACATAGTTGTGCAATCATCATCATTATCTAATTCCAGAATATTTTCATCACTCCAAAAAGAAACCACATAGCACTCTGGGAGGCCAAGACAGGAGATTTGATTAAGGTCAGGAGTTCAAGACCGGCCTGAGCAAGAGCGGCCCCATCTCTACTAAAAATAGAAAAATTAGCCAGGCATGGTGGCACGCACCTGTAGTCCCAGCTACTCAGGAGGCTGAGGCAGGAGGATCGCTTGAGCCCAGGAGTTTGAGGTTGCTGTGAGCTAGGCTGACGCCATGGCACTCAGGGCAACAGAGTGAGACTCTGTCTCAAAAAAAAAAAAAAAAGAAAGAAATCACATATCTATAATATTAGCAACCCTCTTGGAAACCCCTACTCTGCGTCCTATCTCTATGGACTTGCCTATTTGGGACATATATGAATGTTATCATACAATACGGGATCTTTGACTGACTTCTTTGCCTAATGTTTTCAAGGTTCATCCATGTAGTAGCATGTATCCTTTTTAACTGTCAAATAATATTTCACTTATGGATATATCAGATTACCACATTTTATCCATTCATCAGTTGATGGGCATCTGGATTGTTTCCCCCCTTTTGATTGTTATGAATAATCCTGCTGTAAACATTTGTGTACAAGTTTTTGTGCGGACATATGTTTTCAATTCTCCTGGTATCTCAGAGACGAATTGATGGTCATATAGTAACTCCATGTCTTACTTTTTGAGGTACTGCCAAATTGTTTTCCAAAGTGCCTGCACCATTGCCACCAGCAATGTATGAGGGTTCCAATTTATCCACATTTTTATCAGTACTTGTTTATTTCAGCCACCCTAGTGGGTGTGAAGTGGTATCTCATGGAAAGGTTAAAATGCATTTCCCTAATGACTAGTGATGCCAAGCACCTTTTCTTGTGCTTAATGTGCATAAGTTTTTTCTATTGCTTGATTTTTTTTTTTAAGAGACAAGGTCTTGCTATGTTGTCCAGGCTGGCCTCAAACACTTGGACTTAAGCGATCCTCCCACCTCAGCTTCTCGAATAGCTGGGTCTATAGGCACATGCCACTGTGCTTTGCTTATTGTCTGATTTTGAACCATGTAACTGCATTACCTAGTCAACATCTTAAATTAGAGATTCCCAGGCCCAACTCTGGAGAATGATTTATATGGGTAAGAGTGGGGCCCAGAAATCTGTATTTTTAATAAACATCCTAGATGATTCTATCACAGATGGTCCTAGACCAGGCTTAGTAGACACTGAACCTGCTGAGCAAAAAGTATGGGAACTGGCCGGGCGTGATGGCTCACGCCTGTAATCCTAGCACTCTGGGAGACTGAGGCGGGCGGATTGTTTGAGCTCAGGAGTTCGAGACCAGCCT